TGGCGGAAGGCCGGCATGGCAGAGGCCGCCAAGGCGGCGCCCCAGCAGGCGAGGCAGCCTATGGGCCACAACGAGCAGACGGCCCTAGACGCGGAAAGAGGAGCTCCAGATGCGTAACTTTCCGGCAGAGTGGAGCCTGGACAGCGACACTTTGTCCTGCACAGCCAAGGTCGCCCCGACCAGCCACCGGCTGCAATCGAGCGCTCCTAGGAAACCGAGCCTGTACGGTGGACACCCCGAACTGCGAGTTCGAGCACGAGGACGTCAAGAGAGCAGTGGAGCGCTGGGTAATCTGTGCTGGTCGCGACGCGAGAGGCACGGCGCGGCAATGGAGGAGTGTAGGCAGTGCTCTGCAAGGATCGGCTTAGCTATGGAAGGCGAGGGTGGGGGAGTGGACCCGCCCTCGTGCCATGACAGTGCGGCGAGTTTCTCGTTCGGTCTTGTGGAAGGACGGGACATGCACGCTGGTATGTGGCCACGCCCCGTGAATTGGAAGGAATTCAGGGCACCCAAATGTATGGTGCGTCGGCGCTTGGCCTGCGGATGGCGATGGAAGTAGTGGCCTGCGGGACAGAGAGATAGAAGCGAAGCATAGACGGCCGACCCTAACCTGACTGGGATTCGTGAGAGGTGCAGTGACGAAAGACGAGCTAGAGGCAGACCTTAATCCTGCGGAACCTGAAGACCAGGAAGCTGGCGCTCGGCGTGACCTTTCGAAGTTGTGCACTGGCCGACCACTGAAAATGGCTGTCCCTAACGCAGTTTCCTCACCCGATGTTACTTCGCCAGCCTCGCCTTCAATAGACTTACCGCACGCGGCAGAACAGCGGAACCGAGCATGGCAGGGAATCAACTCGGAAATTAGGCTGGGTTATCCGGCACACCCCTTAACCAGAAGAGTTGTAGAACAGCAAGTGTGAAGTGCAGCCTGGAACCCAGCCGACTTCCAGCCAGGACTCCTGCGAGCAGGCAGCGCTGTATTTCGAACTCCATAACGAGGCGCGAAGATAAAGCCGTAAACCAACACCGAGTGCATGAGACGCGATTAGAGGAAGCAACTTGCCGGAGAGAGAGCATAAAGGAACACTAGACCCAGACCCAAGCAGGGCGAGAGATCACACGGGCAGAAGACGAGCGCGGGACAGACACCCTATCACCAGAGACAGACGGCCAAGACACTGGCCCGTGGTGCGACCCGGAGGAAGACGCGCCGTTGATGCGCTTAAAGAAAGTGCCCATCAACAACACTTTCCACCCGATGTCGCGTTGCCTGCACCGCCCGAGACGGATCTAACACGCACAGCAGCGCAGCCGAACCGGGCATGGCTCGGCATTATTACGGCAACACAGGCTGGGCCCACAGACCGGCCGCCGATGCCAGAAGCGAAGTTCGAATTGAGGTACGAAGCGCAGCTCGAACCCAGCCGGTTTCCAGCCAGGTCCCCCGCGAGCATGCAGCTCGCTATGGCGCCGCTACTTGAACTCCACAACAGGGCACGATCACCAACTCACAACCAACGCCTGTGTGCTAGCCTTCTTAGAGGAAGGGGTGCGCTTCACCTGGGTGGGAACGCCCGGCTTGGGCCCTCAGTTCTTCCCACAGCGCCGCAAGAAGCACCGTATAGTCCTCCAAATGATCAGCCAAGCCACTGGCCGCGAGGTGGACCCAGAACCGTACCTAACCGGCAGAATGCCGCATGTCACCTAGTTTCCCAACCACCGCAGCACCAACCTGCATAGCGCGTTTGCCACAGTAGACACCCAGAATGGCTTGGACGTGGGGTGACGCGCAAGTGCCCCTCAGAGTGGGGACCACCTACGGTCGTCAACGGCCTACAGGTAGTAGAAGGCAAGGAGCTGCGCCTATACACGAACCCCATGTACCCCAACCGCTTCATGGAGACCCCGCCGCTAAAATACGAGAGCACGTCTTGGACTTGCCAGGCTTTCTGTGAAAGGACGATTTCCTCTTCACAACAGACGACAAAACGGCTATTGGATCCTACTGCTATCACCCAGACATGTACCGCGTTGCCGCATTTGAATGGGTTGGCGACTTACACTACTGGCTCGTAATGGCGTTCAGTTTCGCCCCGGCCTGCTGGGTTTACAGCCTGCTAAAACAGGAGCTGTTTCGACCGATGCGGAGCGAGGCTTAGACCTGGCTTACTTTATCGACGACTGCACGGTGGCGGCGAGGACACACACGGCAGCACAACACCTGTGCCGGGCAGTCGTCAACCTACTCATCGGCTCTGGGTTTCACCCTGAGCCCGAGAAATGCCAGCTGCGACCGTCCCACCGCGTCAAATTTCTAGGCTTCATTGCCGGCACGCAGCACGAGGTATTTGACGTACCTGAGAACAAAGTATCGTCAGCTGGCCGAATCGGTCGAGCACCTGGAGACCGCGGAACCATCAATCACAGCCAGGAGGTAGCACGGGTGGCCGGATGGATCATGGCCATGAACCCGGCAGTGGCTGCGGCGCCGCTCCACGCGCGTGTGGTTGGGCGGGCGGCAGCAGGAGCAGCAGATCTGGGACGAAGCGGTGGGGGACCCGACCACTTTCCCCCTCCAAGGCACGGCTCTCCCTCACCCTGCTGCGCCTCAAGAACGCTAGACGGGGGCGACGCGGCCCAGCCGTGTGCTGAGAGTGGCAGGCATTATGCCTACAGCGAGTGGACGAGCTGTACATGAAGTGCGCGGATTGGGACCTGGGAGTGCAGCTGGTCTGGCATCCCCGCTCGGAACAGCAACAGCAATACGCGGATATACTCTCCAAGTTCGGAGACAGCTCGCAGGGGTGCTTAGACGACGCGGTTCACAAGCCTGTGGGCGGAGACATGCCTGAAAGGATGCGGGCCACGGTCGTCATTTTGCAGACGAATTCTCCACAAAAGTACCAGGGGTGCTTCTTTGCATCGCTATTGGAGGCCCCACGCCCTAGCAGTGGACGCCTTCACCCAAGACTGGAGAAAGTGGAGCCGCCAGGACGTTCTGTACCTTAAACCCCGTTTCGACCAGACGGGCGAGTAGTGCACAAGGTTGCCGAGGAGAAGCCGGACTGTGTCTCGATCATCAGGTTTGGCCGCGCTGGGGAGAGCTAGGCTGGCAACGTTACCCATAAAAGCGCGGAGGCGTTTGCCGCACATCCTCACCCCTTTCAGGCCGAGTTACGCGACCGAGGTAGTGTTCATTTTGAGGTAAGGCAGGGCCGACTAGGCGCGAGAGTACGACAGGAAAGATAGCGAAAGCGAGGATCCAAGGAAGCCCGGAGACATGACAAGGCTGAGCCTTGCAGACGAGCCGCAAGGCGGTGTGGCTGGGATGTGGTGTGGCCTGATTAAACATTGGGATCGGGTGTAAGGCTGGACGCAAAGGCCCACTTCACGCTAGTCCGGTACGGAGCGACGAGCATTTACATTCAAGCACCTTGTACCGCTTTCAATATTGTCGGTGTTATAGTTTCACTATTCAATTCGATAAGCCTCATGTTGTTATTAAAACAATGTCTCCCAAGGATGGTGGATTTTTAGCGACGGCGAGCCAGTCCGAGCCAGTAGGGTAAGGCCGCGTCGCGGCACGTAGTTATAGGCAACGGACGAGAGGGGACGAGCGTGGCAATCGCAATCCGAAGGTAGTGGGCCCCATTTAATCTTACCTAATATTATTTTAGGTGTTTAGACATTTGAACCTGTCTCCTCAGACCTTAAACAACCTTAAACAACCTTTTGCAACCTAAACGTCCTGAAACTGGGTTCCTGTCTTCAAGGAATCGCGATAAAGAGCACATCTATGAAACAAAATAGACCTAAGTAAAAACCCGCGTTGGAATATGCAGCTTGACGTGGCCTGTCATTGTGTTAAAGGTTAACAGGGTGTTTCCACTTGGCCGAACACTAACACTAAGTTTGAATGTTCTTCGTCCTGGACTCGTCTCTCGCCGTTCTAAATGCATATGTTGATACTACTAATGATAGTAGAAAATATTCATCAAACAAATTGGAGGTTGGGGCACTCCTGGCGGAGAACCGTAAGGCCTAGTGGAAACACCCCGTACACTAAGTCCACACTAGCGCACACTAAAGTTAATTGGACCTCAGACCTGCCATTAACTTTAGTACCTAGCACTAACTATTTGGCGGGCAACTTTTATGAGCTGGATTTCCCTTCTGACCATAGACTTTAGACGTAAGCAGCTATCTTTTTTCCTTCCTGCAAACGCCGCGTTGACTTGCGCACGCCCAACACCGACAGCCTCAGAACACCGCCATTTTGCAATGGAGCCCTCCTTCAATAACGTTCAGCAAACATATACTGCTCGTTTGCCTTCCTTCGCTGGCCGGCCGTTGCCAATGCACCATGCGGACTTCATGGCGGACATCATGACGCAGGCTGCGCCGCAGCGGATCTTAACTACGCGAATGCTTAATTATCAGCAATTAATCCCTGGCGCTAAAACATTCATAATACGAAAACAATTTTGGTTTCGGCGCTCCTTAGTGCCGCTAGTGGAAACACCGTCACACTAGCACTATACTAAGTCCACACTAGCACATAGTGTACCGAAGATAGTGTCCGGCCAAGTGGAAACACCCTGTAAGGATAGAGGGCTTAACCCGGCTTCCAGCGCCCTCCAAAGCGCGACCACCCTCTCCTGCAACCGCGAAAGGTTATCAAACACATTTATTTTGCAGCTTACTGTGGCTCTTTTGCTTCCTTGCCAAAGGCTCGTGCTGTCTGTATGCATATTTCGTGTACGAAAACCCCTTTGCGACAATTCAACTCAAAACAGTTTCAAAGGTTATTTTAATCACACTTAAAAACCGATATGGCCTGGGATTGCAGTGGGCCTCACTTAAGGTGATCTTGTGCCTTTGAGCGAAAGTGGCACAGGCCGCTAACTGTGAAATCAGAAACACTTACTCTTAATCGATACGTATCAAAGGACACAGTTAATCTAGCTTATTATGCCACGTTGTTCAGGTGCACATAAGATATGTCGCGGTGGCTGGTTGGCTCCCAGCTGCTCTTCATGCTGCGAGCCTTAAAAACCGCATTAGTCCTCCTTTGCATTTTCAAGATAATAAAAGGCTATGAGCTGGCGCCCTCGGACCCTACGTCGTTTTCCCTCATCGCATGCGAGGTGGCAACGGGTGGCAACGACACCATTAAACACGTACGTCGACGCCCTTGCGCCCGGGCGTTATCTGTTTGCAAAATACAAAACATTCCTTGAATAACTTAGATTTTAGTAACCACTTCTCATATGACATTAGTACGTCCTGGTTTCGACACGCGGGTTTCGGTTGACTATATTCGCATGTGGCTACACACCTTGCAGGTTCCCGAGCCTGTCCTACCGCTGGTGGCGGGTTCAAGGCCATGTCTACCGGTGTATATCGCATTGGCTCGCGACCACTCTCGACGGGCGCAAATTTTCGGTGCGGACGAGCGCCTCAGCTTGGTGCTGGTCTCCGATCCCTGGGCGGCGGCTGTACTACCGCCCACACCCATCAGTACCAGAAATACTGCGGCCGCCAATCAGAGTAGCTCCCCATATAACGCCGCTGGAACTAGCTTTGGAAGTGTTTTGGAGAGCGTGCCAGCGTTAGGAGACACCACCACCACGGGAAGTAACTCTGTACCAGCAGCAACTGCACCAACGGCCGCAACGACACCAGAAGCGGCAGAAAGTACAGCGACACCGGCAGTAGCAGCAGCAGCAGCAGCAACAATGAATGGACGATTGCTGGCACCGGAGGCGAGAGCGGTTGAAGAATCAACGAGGGAAGCAGCGGCAGCAGCGGCGGTGGCGGCTGGCATCGCACTTGCAACTGTAGCAACACGAGCACCTACGTCTACGGATGCAGCGGCGGCGGCGGCGGCAGCGGCGGCGGCGGCAGTAGCTTCTGATCCGCCATCGCCGCCTGTGCTGGCAGCCCAGGGTCGTTTGGAGGCAGCAGCTTTGCCACTGGTGAGTACGACATGGGGGTTCCGGGCGCCGATGGCTTGTCTGCTAACCCTCAATCGTGCTTAAGTATAGTGCGTGTCTGCCAGCTCATCATATAAACACGCATGCATCTTGCATGTCGGTAAGACGGAGGGCGGAACCATCTGCTGCTAAAGTGTGCAGCTAAAGTGCCTTGCACACAAACAGAGAAGAGACAAATCAAATTCCAGGCGGGTCAGCAGCGCGAGCGAAGCAATAATTTGGCATGCCGCGTACCTGGCGAGCAATCCGAGTGCTTTATTATTAACATCTGGTTCCGCCGAGATTTGGCGAAAAATGGTTCCGCCCACGTTTGACCACACATGGCCATGTTTTCTTTGCTTTATTTTTGCTTATTTTTGTGTTTTTGGTTGATATAAAAATTTTCGACAGGCTGCAGGGAGATGCAAGTACGGTGTCTTCAGAACCCAGAAACCCTAAGTATCACATATGCACATACGCATCACACAGTAACACGCCTGAGTTGCTTTTTTCCTCTTCTCACCGCTCCCGCCCTTTTTGCCTCTTTTGCCCGCTGTTTGCCCCCTTTTCCAGTTGATCTCCAATAACGGGACCTGGCTGCAGCAGCTGAATGCCGCAGCGGCCGCCGGAGAGTCCCTACCGAGACAGCTCCTGCCTCCCCCCACTGGCAGACCCGGAGGGCCCCCCGCAGCGCCGCTGCTGCTCTTCTACCGTCGCGACTGGTGGGAGGCACTCACCTCCACGATTGGCCAGCTGAAACGGCCCAACGCTACTGGGGGGGCATCCGCCGCAGGTGGCAATGGCAGCGGCGGTGGTGCCGCCGCTGCTGGCGCCCCGGATGTTGGTTCTGGAGCTGCTGCGGGTGCTAGAAACGCTAGTGGAATGGCCGCGGCGGCGGCGACGGCGGCGAGTTCTGTGCCGCCCACCTGGACATTGTTCGTACTGTTGCTTTCGGATCTGCTGAACCGTGATTTTGACGGTGACGGCGTTCCAGATCATGCATTGTGTGTGGACCTGATGCCGGGTATGTGGATCAGCGTGTGGGCGTTCGCCGTTTGTAGTGGAAGTCTATGTTTAAGATCGGTCGAACAAAAGTTTTGGCCGACATTCAGTGTTACGGCGCCTAATACCACGTCTATGGCAGCCAAGTTGCGAGGTACTTCGGAAACCTCTTCATCCCGACAGAGGGGGTGGGAGAGGCGGGACGGGGGGATGAGAGGGGGCTGGACGATGCGGAGGGGAAGGAGTGGAAGGAGGACAGGAGGGAATTACATGTAGCAAAATCAAGAGGAACAACTGCCGACGACGTCCAAAATTGCGAACTGCTGTTGGAGAGTCCAAAGTGATGACGCAACCGCGCTGTGAACTTTATTACCGACATATTTAGGAGGGGATGAGGCAGGCGGAAAAGAGTTTTGGGTCGACTGGGTCGCTTTTCTCCTGCCGCTCTCCTGCAACCCCGTATCTGGCGCTGTTGCTCCTGTCCTTCCAGTATTTCGCCATCCCTTCCGTTCCCTCGATTCCTCCACTTTTCACGTACCAATGCAATTACACCCTTCCTCTTTCCCCAGCGCTGCGGCCCGTCGAGTGGTCCATTTTGCCACCAGCCTACCTACACCTCCCGCTTCCTCCCCCCTCCACGTAATCTTCTTGTTCTTCTTCTTCTTCTTCTCCTCCTTGTCCTTTCCCACACGCCACGTGTCCCACCATGTCCACCGCGGTACGCCAATTGGGGTTTCACCCCCTTTCCCCCACCTTCATTCCTCAGGGTGTAAGGGCGGCGCCGTGCTGGCCGCCATTTACGCGTCTTTGGCACAGACCCATGGGACGGCGCAAGGCCTGTGGTTTAATCAAACTGACTTCAACCCGCTGCTAGGTGGGTTCAGGGCTGCGACAGTGGTCTGTGTCCCTGGGGGATTTTCGGTATCTAAGGGATTGTGGAGGCGAAAGTTGGCGACAGAAACGGGTTGGGCTACCCGGGCAGTTGCGTAGGCTTAGACCTCGGAACTGGACTTGGGCGGGCGCTGCGATGACCCGAATCATCCTGGACCGGACCGGAACTGACATGCACATGTGGCATAAACACACGCCCTACACGCTCGCAACCCCCACATACCCCCAGGTGGCCACGCCCTCCCTGCTGCAATGCGCCTGTACGGCGCCCTTGCCGCCCTCAACGCCGCACCCTTCACACCCCGCCGTGGAGCACACACCATAGCGTCCGGGCCCCCCTACACCGTCAACCGAAGCAGTACCGGCAGTAGCATCAGCAGTACCAGTACCAGCGGTAGCAGCATCAGCAGTAGCAGTGCTTCCTTCTCCGCTAGCAAGGTGCTTGTATCGTTAGCTGAGCTGCGGTTGGGAGGGGCTGCAGTGGACTCCGCCAGCGGCGCCCCGCTGTGTGGTGCCGTCAATCCGCTCTTCGCGGCGGGCCGCTGTCTCTTCACCTTGGAGTGGGGGAGTGGGGCCACCTGGCTGTTGGAGCGGAGAGCTGGTGGTGAGCGGAGAGCCGGTGGGGGCTTGGGGGCGCTGGGGGGCTTCCAGGGAAGGCAAGAGGGACGGGAGGCTGAGTGGCCCTAACGCCCGTATGTCAGGAAGGAACGGCGGAGGTTGAGGGTTGCGGAGGTTGAGGGTTGCGGAGGTTGAGGGTTGCGGAGGTTGAGGGTTGCGGAGGTTGAGGGTTACGGAGGTTGAGGGTTACGGAGGTTGAGGGTTGCGGAGGTTGAGGGTTACGGAGGTTGAGGGTTGCGGAGGTTGAGGGTTACGGAGGTTGAGGGTTACGGAGGTTGAGGGTTACGGAGGTTGAGGGTTACGGAGGTTGAGGGTTGCGGAGGGCAAGGGTTGTCGGAAGGGGAAGGGGGAAAAGGCGGGAAAGGTCAATTGTTATGGTGGATGGGTAGATGGTCACGGTGGTGGCGATGGTGGTGGTATCATGGTAATGGGACGAAGTAGACTGGTCCGGGGTGCGTGGGGGTGTCTGGGCTCACTCCTGGAAGCGCGCGGGGTAAGGAAACTGGGACGCTGGGAAGGGCTCACACAGGCACACAGCATGACTCAACCAACATGTGTGCGCAATGGAGGGGCTAAGGGACGGGCAGCACGTGCAAAGTGCAGGCAGTCCAAAAAACGTGTTTCTGTCCGCCCCCATACCTTGCCCGCATCGCTGGCCTTCTGGCCTGCGTGGCTACCCAAAGGACATCTGGAGTTAGTGCGGCTATCTTGCGTTCTCCATTTAAAGCACCTTCCCCTTTTCCGTGTCCGTGTCCATCAGGCATCCCGCCTGGGGCCCTGGGTGTTGCGCTGCTTCCGGGAAGCGACGTGGTCGAGTTTGGGCCGCCGATGGAGGGTGTTGCGCCGCCGCCAAGCTCAAGTAGCCCAGCAGCTACTGCTGGCAGCGGGGCGGCCACTGGCAGCAGCGACCTCGACGGCCGTGCAGCGGCAGCCTCCAGCGACACCAGCGCCACCGGAAGTACTGGCGCCGCCGCAGCGCCGCTGGATGGGTTAGTTACGTGTACGGCGGTTCACTGCCCATACGGCACCGCTGTCAACTCGACAGTCCTGGAGGTCGCAGCGACCGCCGTGAGCCTCAACCTCCAACTGCCAACCAACACAACGTACCCGAACGACGGCGGCAGCGGCGCCGCTGCCGGTTCCTCCTTGTACTTGCAGGCAGTACGGCAGTTGCCCGACACGTTGCTGATCAACCGCGCGCCGTTCTACGGGGAAAGTGAGGAGACGTGGCTGCTACTGCCGCCGGCGCCGCCGCCCGCAGCACAGGGGCTACTGCCGCCTTTGTCGGTGTCCAACAACCTCCTGTTACATCCTCCCTCTCCATCTTCGTCCTTAACGTCTTCACTGTCTCCGCCGTCTTCACCGCCATTGTTGTCGTCGCCGTCGCTGGGTTCGCAGCAGCAGCCCAGCGCCGAGTCACCCATTCTCCGGATGGCCCAAAGGACCCGAGCGGAGGAGTTCGTAAGGTGCGTCCCCTGCTGCGTACAGCCTGCTTCGTACTTCAGCTGTGGATGTTTGCTTTTTGTGGGTGGATTTCACCCATCGCGCCCCACTTGAAAGGTTTAGGAATGCAAGGACAACATGGGTCTGGTCGCGGTGCCGTACATATTGCCGATCCTGTACGTAATAAATTTATGCTCGTGCATTTTTGTTCCAGCGAGGACCTTCTTCGCAAACGCATGAACGTGAAATCTGCCGGGCTCACGTCATGCCGTCCACCTGGCAGCTTAGGTACTAAATCCGTTTGGGGCCCGTCACCCGAAGCCTTCCCTCCATGATCCACTTGTGCCTTTCTTGACTCTTGACCCCGAGGACCGCTGCCGCCAAAGCAGCCGCATCACTACTTGAGCACTCCCAAGGAGGCTATAAACCTAGGAGTGGCCAGGAAGGTGTCTTCTCTGGTCCTCCGCTCCTCTGTCTGCTGAGAATACGGTGGTGACGGAGGTGGTGGGTGCTAAGAACCTGGGCGCCCGCAACCCCTCCCTTACGCATGCTTGTGCTCCCCGCTGCCGTTTCGAAGATTGGTGTCGTATCAACTTTACCTTAAATACGGGCTCGTCACGCAGCTGGCTATACGGCAAGGTACGGCTGGATTGCAAAGCGGGAAAAGGTCATGGAAGCGGTGAAGGAACGGTCCTTATGTTAGCGTCTAAAATAGAGACTGGAATATGGCGTAGATGTCGTATGTGGACGGGCGGGGGCCCGCTCTTCCTCCGCTTGGCTGCAGCCGGGATGATTCTAGGCCACCCTGCACCGCACTCTGCTCCCTGCCTGCCGTAACCGCGCCCTCCACATCTCATTCCATTCGCCGCAGGTCCCGCTGCCTCGCCACAGAGTGTTGTGGACGCCACTGCAACGCCGCCCCTCGACACCGAGTGGAACGCATCCATGTACGGTGACATTGTCGTACTGAGTGGCGTTACACGCGCCACGCCACCGACGGGGGAGGTGACGGCGGCTGACGTGGCAGCTTTGCTGAATGCCGACCCTAGGGACGCCACGCGGTTGGCGCAGGTGCGTACGAGCGGTTGGCGGCTTGTACGGGGCCTATCGTGAATATAGAGATGCATTAAGACCGGGCAGTAAAGCTTTGCGCAACTTCCTTGACTGTGTAACCGAAAGTGAGCAGCAGCAGCTCAGCTGCTGCCCAGCTGCTGCTGATGACGATAGTGACGATGCTGCAGCATCAGCTGCAGGAGCCAACCGCATCAGAAAAAAAGCAGCTGCGACAATAGTCGTAATAGGTAGTGTGTAATGGCTGTGTAGTAGGTATTAAGCAGCCACGGCCCCTGTCAACCTGTTACAGCGGCTGTTCAAATGTTTAAATGCACTTTCGTCTGTCCGTTTCCGGTCCTCTGTGCCGCGACGACTTCACGTCGGGTCCCTTTCTAACCCATAAACATGGGCAGGTGATTGCCTCGGCAGTGCAGCACAAGAACGCAGCCATGGATATCCAGCTGCCGTACAGCTCACATTACAGGTGCGGCAATAAGAACGGCTCCCCAGCGATGAGGGTTTGTTTGCGTGCATGCATGCGTATCGACGCGAGAATTTTAGATGGCTGTAGCCGGCGCTCCATTTCACGTTTCCGCAACCCTCTGTGGCAGTGCGTCGCGTGCGGTAAGGCTACTGTACTTCTTTTCATCATCGCACCTCATGTGTGATTCTCACGCTTTTCTGTGGCTGCAACACGACATTTGCAGTTGCATGCTTGTGGTTTGGACGTGTGGGCTGCTGTCCACTAGTGATTGCACTTCACGTCCTTACCCGTTCCTGCCCTGCGCGCTGGCATGACTGCGAAATGACTCCCCTCCTTCCTCCCTTCCTCCCTCCCTCCCTCCCTCCCTCCTCCCAACCTCACTCAACTTAACTCACCATCGCGCAGGTCTGTTCTCGATCAGCTGGCTGCGGCAACGGTAGCTATGTGCAATACGGCGAACAGTGGCGCGAGCTGTAGCAGCAGCAGTAGCGGCGGAGGTGACGGCTTGTACGCTGGAGGTGGTGATGCTGCTGTCGGCGGCCGCAGCAGCCAAAGTAGCAGCGGCAGTAGCAGGTCTCCTGTAAGCCGCCGAAGAGCTCAGGCTGCGCCGTCCTCACTCCCTTCCGAAGCTACTGCTACTGCCGCACCGGCCGGCGATGGTCTTACGGTGACGGTAAAGGCAGCAGTAGAGGAGCCCCTGCAGGAAGATCCCCTGCTGGTGCTGCAGGCCTGGGCGGTGGCGGAATTCGGAACCATTTCGCGGAGTGAGTGGGTTTACGTTCCCGTGTGATGCTAGTTGGTTGTTGGGTGGCGAGACCCGCTTTTGCATCAGCTAGGATGGTTGTTGAGGGTAGGTGGTGGGCTGGATTGGTGGGCTGGATAGCTAGGTGGGCCGCTGGGTGGATGGGCGCACGGTTACATCCGTTTGTTCCTCCGTGCGCGCCTCACTACCTCACTCACGCCAGCCGGGGCGCTCTCCCAGTCCTGGCGGCACAGACGGCGCAGAAGGACACAGCGGCGCAGAAGATGCGAACCGAACTAAGCGAGAGGCGCCACACCACCTCTGGGATCCCTAAATAGGCTACCTGCCGTCACTTCACCTGGCCAGCCCAATCGCGCGCTCTATCCCGTCTAGAACACCAAAACAAGGACAAACGGGGGCAGGGGCTCTAATCAGGGGGCTCCACTGCACTCTCAAAGACGAGGCAGGGGAAGACCTACCCACGCCAGGCGCGGCCCCTCAGAAGACTCTCCTAGCCAAGGACACCCATGCAGCCAGCAAGGCAAGAGATACACGGAGGACCACGGGCCTGAGTCGCCACACCACAAAAGCCAAGACGCTGCTGCACAAAAACACCAAACACAAAGCGAGCACTCGCACGCTGGTCCCTGAAGGCCAGCTGTTCAACTACCACAAGCAACGCGCGTCTCACGAGGACGGCCACCACTACCTCACCGGTCCACTAACAACCGAGGCAAAGACTGGTCCGCACGGCAGTGGGGGTTGCGGGCTCCCCCTGGCGCAGCCCAGCGCAAGGCAAAACAAAAACACCTATTGACCGGTTAGAACGACAAGCCAGCGCGGCGCCCCCCTATAAAGCCCGGAAGAGGCACGGCTCACAGACGCTGCCTCCTCCCGCTAACCACGCTGAGAACCCTCCCCTTCTGTCCCTGGCCGGCCGGCACAGCGTCACCTACTCTCCCTCTCCATCCCATTCTCCTCAACCACTTTCCCCACCCCTCTGTACTCCCACACGCCACCTACGCCGTCCCTCCCAACCGCCAGAAGCACAGAACCTATTCCCCTCTCTTAGACGGGCCCCAATTCCCGGGGAGAGGGCACACACTGTAGTAGCTGGCCGCTGACAAGGCCTCTCGAGATGCTGGTGGACACGCTTAGCGCGTATTTGTAGTTGTTCACGGTGCCGTACAATGTACCGGCTACTACACACACACACACACACGAACACACACAGCCCGGCTCCGTTTTCCCCCTGCTAAACCACGCGACCCTAGGTCAGGACACTGTCCTCTCGCCCAGCCCTCCACCTGCCCAGAGCCTCCCTGCTCTCCTCGCCCGCGCGCCCTTCCCACCTATCCCTACTCCTGGCTCTCTCCCTCTCTCCCTCACTCTCCCTGCTTCTCCACAAAAATGCCCCTGACCCGGCACTAGCAAGGCTATTTAGGCCGTGATTTCCACTGTGCTGTACACCGCACCCGCTGCTCCACGACCGCCAGGATGGGGTGCTGCGGCCCGACTCTGTCCCAGTCGTGTCGGGGGGTCTCCAGCGCCGCGAATGAGCACAGGCGCGCCCAGGAGTCTGCCACCACCCGGGCGCGTGCTACTGTTGCTGTTACTGTTGCTGTTGCTTTTGCTGTTGTCCTTGCTATCCCAGGCATACGTGTGGATTATCATGGCAGGTCGAAATTCGACATCCCCTCTCGACGATCGCGCCCCGCTTGCAGGTTTTCCCTACCCAGCCATTCTTCTGCGGCTCTACGCCCACACCATTGGTGCCATAAAGCTTTCCCGGCTGGTTCCGGAGCCTCCTTCTGCGCCAGCAGCGCCACAAGCCGGCCGCATGCGCCGCGCTGCAATGATCGCCGGCATCACCGCCATCGCCGCGCTCGTCCTAACGGTTGTTGGTTGCGGCATCGGCATCCTGTTGTGGCACTTCCGGTGCCGCCGCCGCCGCGCCAAGAAGGGCTGCGGGGTAATGCCGGGGGCCCATCCCAACACTACCCTCGTAGTCACGGATGTGCAGGTGAAGCAAATTCTTTGTACGGTAGTACGGTAATACGGCAATAAATGGTTGGCGGCCCATAATAGCGCCCCTTGATGGACATCGTTTGTGGGGGCACACTTGTTGCTGCTGGCCAGCAGTAAGGCAGGTACAATCTGTAAGAATCTGCGCTTGAACTTGGCTGGCCATTGGTGGAGCATTGCAAGTTTATTAGGTGGTTTAATATTCACCGCACCGTTATGTGTGCTTGGATTATTCGTGCTTATACATTTCGCAACGCGCTCATAGTCGGCCCGGAGTAATAGTGCCGTCGTGGCAAAGATGTGTACGGGAAAACGTGGGCCTGCGGTTGAAGGGTAAAATGTTTAGTAGCCGAATATGTTAAAGTGCTCCTACGTGTACGGCTACCCCCCAGGTGCCTTACATCCACGGCAAATCCAAGCTCGTGCGTCCACGTCACCTTTTTACGTAAAGGGCCAACATTCGTAGCGGGTGTTGATTTTTTGTTGTTAGGGTTTTAGACCATGCGGCGCGTGCATGTGCCTTCCCAACTGCCCCGCGGTCCCCGCCCCGTTTCCCCCCTTCGGAGATTGGCAGTTGGTTATTCACTTCTTGCACACACACACACACACACACACACACACACACACACACACACACACACACACACACACACACACACACACACACACACACACACACACACACACACACACACACACACACACACACACACACACACACACACACACACACACACACACACACACACACACACACACACACACACACACACACACACACACACACACACACACACACACACACACACACACACACACACACACACACACACACACACACACACACACACACACACACACACACACACACACACACACACACACACACACACACACACACACACACACACACACACACACACACACACACACACACACACACACACACACACACACACACACACACACACACACACACACACACACACACA